AGAATGTTGTTGAAGAGATTGTGGACAAAGAAATAAAGATTATTTTGAATAGGTATAATGAAGTCTTTAAAGAAGAATTAGGTACTCTGAAAAATTTTGAAGTAGATATACGATTAGAAGAAAATTATAGGCCTAAGTTTTGCGGCATAAGAAGATTACCGTTTTCTTGGATAGAAGAGATAGATAAAGAATTAGATAAATGGTTAAAAGACGGAATAATAAAACCAATAGTGCATAGTGAATGGGCAACACCTTTAGTGCCCATAAGAAAACCAGATAACAGTTTAAGATTGTGTATAGACTATAGAGTAACAGTTAATAAGTGCGTAATAAATGAAAAGTATCCACTACCTAGAATAGAACAACTGCTAGCGAATTTAAGAGGAGACACCCTGTTTTCAAAGATTGATTTTTCGAATGCTTATTTGCAAATTAAGGTGAGTGAAAAGACAAGTAAGATACTAACGATTACAACTCATAGAGGTTTGTTTGCATTCTGCCGATTACCTTTTGGTTTGAAAATATCAGCGCCAATATTTCAAAGAACGATGACGGCGTTATTTCAAGGAATAAAAGGAATAATGTATTATTTAGATGATGTTTTGATATCTGGTAGAACAGAAGAAGAACACAATTCGAGATTAGTTAAAGTGAGAACGATGACGGCGTTATTTCAAGGAATAAAAGGAATAATGTATTATTTAGATGATGTTTTGATATCTGGTAGAACAGAAGAAGAACACAATTCGAGATTAGTTAAAGTGTTAGATATTATATTAGAAAATGGTTTAAAAGCTAATTTGAAGAAGAGCATTTTTGGAGTAATAGAAATAAAGTATTTAGGACATGTTATAAAGGGAAATGAGATTACGCCAATTGTAAAGAATATAGATAAGATCATGAATATGAGAGCCCCGAATAATAAAGCGGAGGTACAAGCGTTTTTAGGAGCAACAAATTATTATCATCGGTTTGTTCAAAATTTTGCAGAAATTGCTACACCGTTGTATGATTTATTAAAGAAAAATAAAAAGTTTGAATGGGGAGAAGCACAGGAGAAAAGTTTCGAAAAGTTGAAAATAAAGATGGTAGAGAAGCCTATTTTAAGTTGTTTTAATGAGAAATTAAATATTATTTTAGCAGTAGATGCTTCTAATGAAGGTATAGGAGTTTTGTTGCAGATGATAGATAATGTGGAGAAACCTGTTTTATTTTTATCGAGACGATTTAATAGCACTGAGATAAATTACTCAACGATAGAAAGAGAGGCTCTAGCAGTGAAATTCGGGCTTACGAAATGTAAGGAATATCTGATAGGAAAAAGGTTTTTATTGTATACGGACCATAAGCCGTTGGTAGATTTATTTAAAAAAGAGAATAAGGAACTTATGATTTCACCCAGGTTGCAAAAATGGCTAATTTTAGTTGGTAATTTCGATTTTGAAATAAAATTCAGAGAAGGTAAACAAAATTGCTTACCGGACATTTTATCAAGATTGTTTAATAAAGACATTGAAGACAAAGAACCAGTAATCAATAGTTTAGAATATATAGAAGAAGAAAATGTAAATGGTAATATTATAAGAGCGGTGAGAATAGATACAAGAGAAAAACCTATAACATTTGATATAGTAGATAAGATATCCCAAAAAGATGAAGAATTAATAAGAATTAAAGCTTGTGTAAAAGGAGATATAGAATGGAAAAATGAAGATAAAGCGTTTAAAAAAGTTAAGAGTGAATTAAATATAGAAGATAATTGTTTATTGAGAGGATATAGATTAGTGTTACCGAATAAATTAAGAAAGGAAACCTTAAATGTAATACATTCAGGTCATCAAGGCATAGAAAGAATGAAAAATAAAGCAAGAGAATATATGTGGTGGCCTAAGATGAATAAGGAAATAGAAGAGTTAGCAAGGAGCTGTGAAACCTGTAACATGTGGGCTAATGTTCCAGCAAAGAATAAGGAAGATAAATGGCCAAAGACAGACATTCCATGCGAAAGAATACATGTAGATTTTTTAGAATATGAGAAGAAAAGATTTTTTATCATGGTAGATGCAGGTTCAAAATGGATAGATTGTCAGCAAGTTTCAGGTTTATCAACAAGAGTAGCTTTAGACAAGATAAAGGATTTTGTAGGCAAATATGGTTTGATGAAGACGATAGTATCAGATGGAGGTCCAGCGTTTAAAGGTAGAGCATTTGATAAATTTTGTGATAGGTGGAATATTAGACATTTATTATCACCACCTTATTACCCAAGAAGCAATGGACAAGCTGAACGAATGGTAGCGTTAGTAAAGAGTTGGTTGAAAAAGGCAAAATATGGAGAAGGTCAATGGTGGTTATCATTGTTAGCATACAACAGTACGGAAACAGCAAAAGGAAAGTCACCAGCTGAACTATTTTTAGGAAGAAAGACGAGATCAGAATTAGATTTTTTAAAGGAAAAAGTGATAAGGAGAGAACAAGCAGAGAGTGAAAGATTTCCAGTAGGAAGTTTGGTGTGGGTATTGTTGTTTGATGGGCCTATTAAATGGGGGAAGGGTGTAATAAGCAAAAATATAGGAAAGAAAAAAGTAGAAGTAAAGATTGAAGGACAAGAACTGAAGCAAGTAAAGTGTAGAAGCTTAAGGCCTTAGAGAGAAATGAGAAATATACGAAGAATTAGAAAAGAATAAATTGATGATAGACATAGTAGGAGAATCATAATTTGGAAAGGAATAACGTGATGATAGACATAGTAAGAGAATCATACGTTGTAGGAAATAAAAGGGATGTTAGACTTAATTAGGAGAGTTATATTTGATAAAGAGTTAGAGAAGAAATTCTAACCTAGTATAGAGAAATAAGAGTCGAAGAATATATATATATATGTGTATAAAGTATTTTATTTAGATGGCCTCCTATGTTAGAGTGGGTAACAAGGTAATGAAGATAGAGATAAGAGAGGTTGACGGTTCAGAAGAATCCAACAAATGGGTAGAAGCCGCTAGGAACGAAGCGAAACAAAGATACGGAGATTGGCTACAAGAAACGCCAGCGAGAGGGGGTCGCAGAATAGCACCGTATATCACAAGAAGGAGAGTGGAATGCTGGGCGTGCGGGGGTGAACACAAACTTAGGTTTTGCCCAAGTATAGAGTTAACAACGAATAGTAATTCGAATGAACCAGTGAGGAACATGGTAGCATCGGCAAACACGATGGAGTTAAGGGAAGTTTAAAGGGGGGAGATGTTGGATTATGCAAAGTATATTTATGGAACAAAAATAATTTAAATGATGGATTTTATTTTATGTGTTTATTTCTGCGAAAAATTATATTTGTAAGCTAAGAAAAATTGTTTTTATACACATACAATCGGATGACATTTTGAAAATAAAATTAATAAAAAAGGAAAGAGTTAATAAAGAAAAGAAAGATTTAACAAACCTTGGATTCTTAATTGCTCTCCCAATACTGATTAAACACCCTGAGTTAAGTTCGGATTTATAACAGCTTTAAACTTATAAATTTTAATTCTATAATATATATCATTTTATAATATTCAAGAAAACTTCATTATTTAAACTAACATGTTATGAATTTGTAATTTATATAGAATATATATCCGCATGATGGCGTCTTATTATAAAATATTTTATTTATAATTTCATAATAAAAACACAAATAAATTTATTTTTTATTGTTTACCCTTCTTATCAATACGATTTGCAAAATAGTATTATATTTTAATAAGTCAAAGGCAATTTAAATTTTGCTAAAGGCCGTTTAACAGTGAAATAATGATTAAAAATCTTTCGTTTCAGTAAGGATAAAATACATATTAATTTTACAATTAAGATAGTAATAGAAAGGCTGTACCGATGTTAAAATTACGAAATTATAAATGGGTATACATCAGGTTTGGCATTGCATCTAATTTTTATTGCGTAAACATCTTGGAATTGATATACCATTACAAGCTGTTATAAAACAAAATTATTTTAAAAAAGCGTTTAGAATAGGACGATCCAAAATATAGGCTGATTTTATTTGCCCCTGATCAATCTTTTCCCAAAATATTTTTGTTTGATAACATAGTTTTAAGTGTTATCATTATTAGAAGTTGTATTAAAAAATATCTCTAAATCTTATACAAATTTTGAAATACACTTATTTATAACCAGGCCATTTAAATATCGGCAAAAATTGATGCATTAATAATAGAACCATATGAATATTGAATCTTACCAGATATACTTATAGCCAGGAATTTTCTATAGACGAGAACTTTTTTTTATAAAAAAGATATCAGAGTGAAAATTTATCTTGGAATAAGAAATTCAAATGCACGTCTGGTTTCGTCGTTCTTTATATTTTTACGATAAACCTTGGTATACGCGCCCTAAATATAATATACCAGGACGAAGCGTATCAAGATCTGGCTTCTTTGCTTTTAAAAAAGTACCACTTTTTAAATTTTTTTCACTATATCTAGTTATTTCTACCAATGGGTTCTTAGGCCACTAGGCTATCATTTTTTTAAAAATTTTTGCCAAAATAATTTCTCAGATTAATGGTGATCCTGATTCACTTTTAAAATGTCACAATCAACTCAAATCGCTGTTTCGAGGCAATTATTTCTCGGATTTCATAGTTCCCTTTTTGCTCGGCCCGTATTTTTAAAAAAATGTTATTTTAATATAGATTTATATAAATAAATAAAATTAATTATATTTCCATTATAGTATTATGAAAAAGAAAACAAAGTACTATTTCCCCCCTACAGAAATAGTAGCAGGAGAGAAAGAATTTTTTATTTTTATTTTTTCAAGCCTGAGGGTCGGATAGTATAACTTCAAACCCTCTTTAGATAAATCCTTAATTTGAGGGTTACATGAGTCTCTTCCAAAAAATGTTAATTTAAAACGGGTTACTATTGTTGAGACAAAAATAAATAAATGTTCTTTTAAATTATCAAAGTGCCATATTGGAGTAAATAAATGCCATATTTAAGGTTTATCAAAAAAAAATTCGTTTATTTATTTCTTGACATTAATTAACGTTTTAAATATTTAAGAATAATATAAAATTATCGTATCACCCTATTGTACAATAACAGGTGTTTAAATAATTTCATTGGCTAGAGTAAGTCACGTGAATGCATCGCAATGTCATTTTATAACTTATTTTAATTTTCAACAAATAAATTTTATATATAATTTTAAAAAATTTGCAATCGATTTCCTATATAATAAAACAAAAAACTGGCGATATAATATTTATTATAATAATTTAAAATATCATTTAAAAAGTAAATTGCATTTTTTTTTAAAATGTGACTAATTGTCCTTGTGGCATTAATTAAAAAATTTATGCATTAGTGAATTAAATATTTAATACTGGCTATTTTAATTATATATGTCGTATTGAGAAGATCCTGAATCTCTCAATTTGAGATCATTTTTTGTAGGTCATTTTTAAAATTTGAAAAACGCGATTTGACCGGAAATATCAGCATGAGTTTGGAAACCATTTCCTAATCAATATTAATTTTTCACGCCAAAATTGTTTGAAATACACAGGGTTGCTAAGTACTTTAAACATGCCGGAATATATTTCGGATCAAATTAGATCTTTCAAAATTTACAAAATCGCAATCAATAATGGAGAAATTCTAAATCCTCAAGGATTCCATATCTCTATACGACATATATACTAATACTTTAGTTCTAATTTTGTTATATTTAAGAGAAATTATTTTTTATAAAATTCGATGGTTTATTGAATGATTGTCTTGTTGGAAACACTTCTGATAGCCCAATCTGGATATTTGTCTGTTCCGAGAACTAATTTGGCGTAGGAATTGATAGAACAGAAGCTAACTAGAATCCCAATAAAATTCACTACGAATCCGGGCTTTAACTAGTTTATAATAAACGAGATATTTAAAAAAAGGAAAAATAAATATAAACTAAAAGGGAATATTTATTCGCAAGTTTATAATGTAAAAAATATATAATTGTCAAATATTTTTCGGAGACCTATTAGTGGTCTAATTTTTTGCCAGCATATTTAAAGAAAAATTAAATGCTGGCTCTTATTTACACAGTTCAGCCAGGCACGAGCGGCAATATTTTTTAAGTGGGGGGGGACTTGGGCTAAATTGAGTATATTTTAGAGATAAATGATAGTTTTCAATTTTTTTTTAAAAATAGTTTTGGATACATCTAAAAAAAATTGTCTTGATTAATATAAATATATGTGAAATTAGAATTTATTTAATTTTTATATAAATTATAAAAATATATTTGTTTTAAAAATTATCACCTTAGGCAAAGATATTCGCCAATTACCCCAATAATACCCCCCCCCCCCCCCCATATCCTATTTTTAAATTTATCGTCTGATTACTTTTTAAAAATAAATTATCGTCTGCTTATTTAAAAAAAATTATCATGTCACAATTTAATCAATTTAGAGCTGTAATATGGAAATTACACGTATAAATCCATTATAATATATATATAGGTAATATTGATTTAATAGAAAATGTATGAATATATTATGAATTAGTATATTAGTTAATTAGATATGTTTATAACGATTATATATGTATGTATTATAAAATATCGGGTAATGTTTAACTACCCAACTCTAATGATATGTATTAGGATCATCGATTATTATATTATATCCGACATGTTTGTATTAATTTTAGACGCCAGAGTAAAATAAAAATAGCCTTAAGATTTAATTATTGACCATTAATAAAAAAAATAGGGTACATTTTTAAAATTATATATATATTTATGTATATGGAATTTTAAAAGATTTATATATTTATACCATATCCCAAAATGACAAATTTCCGGCCGTGAAAACAATGGCGTTAGGCCCGGTCGCAATTGGAAGCATAAACGAATAGGAGGATGCCAAAGTGACAGGAAATACAAAATAATGTGGATGAACTTTGAGGCTAACGGCCTATTATAAATAGAAACAAATAATTAATATCGAAATATGGCTTAAATTTTTTTTAAATATATCCTATACTCTAGACTTAAATAGATTTAAATTATTTAATAATTTTACTTTACAATAATAATCCCCATTTAGTGTTAAATGGCTATGTTGGGAGTATGACGGGAAGAGCGGGAGAAGTCGTCGATGTATTGCACAGAAGACATATAGATGTGTGCTGCATACAGGAGACTAGATGGAAAGGAAATGGGACCAGAATGATTGGCAAGACTAGCGAAAGTTTAAATTCTTTTGGCAAGGAGGTAATGATGGTAAGGCTGGAGTTGGGGTATTGGTTGCGGAGAAATTGGTAGACAAAGTAGTCGAAGTGAGAAGGCTAGACAACCAGATAATGGTTATCAAGATGATTATTGGTAAGAAGCTATATAATATGATCTCGGCATATGTTCCTCAGGTTGGAAGAAGTGAAGAAGAGAAAGATGTATTTTGGGACAGTCTATTGGGGGTGACATCGAGACTGGCAAATGAAGAGGGGATTATCCTGGCTGGCGATTTGAATGGACATGTGGGAGCGAGTAGTGAGGGTTATGAAGGAGTACATGGAGGGTTCAGTTACGGCATGAGAAATTTGGAAGGAGAGAGGATTTTAGAATTTAGTGATGCTATGGATATGATTGTTTGTAATACAATGTTTAAGAAAGAATCAGAGAAGCTGGTGACTTATAAGTCGGGTAGTACCAAAAGTGTTGTGGATTACTTGTTATTAAGGAGATGTGATCGATGTATAATAAAAAATGTGAAAGTGATACCGGGAGAGGAATGTATAAATCAGCATCGACTAGTTGTAGGAGATCTCACTCTTAAAGGTGCCAGGGTCACTAAAAGAAAGTTTGTCCCAAGGCTGAAGGTTTGGAAATTGAAGGAGGAGAATGCTAGACGTCAATTCAATATGGCATTGGCGATTAGGGAGGCGGAGGTGGCACAAGCATCTGGGGTGAATGACAAGTGGGAAGCCATGAAGAAAGCTTGGGTAATGACAACTGAGGAGGTATGTGGATGGACAAAAGGGCCGCCTAGACATAAGGAGACTTGGTGGTGGAGCCCGGAGGTAGCGAAAGCCGTGGATGAGAAACGGAGGTGTTTCAAAGTATGGTATAATAGCAAAGAAAATAGTGATAATGATATTTACAAGATGGCTAAAAGAAATGCTAAGAAATTAATAGCGAAGGCTCAAGAAGAAAAAAGACACGAGTTTGCTAAAGAAATGGAATGCGCTGATGGAATTGGAAATATGGTTAGAATGGCAAAACAGATGTCAAAAAAGAGGCAGGATGTGATAGGTGTAAAGTGTTTGAAAAATATGGAAGGAAAAATGACGATTGATAGTAGTGGTATTAAGAACACCTGGAAGATTTACATGAAAGGACTTTTGAATGAAGAAAATGAATGGAATAATAATATTAGTTGTGCAAAGGTAGAAGGTCCAGGGTGTAAATTTGGCAAGGACGAGATAAGGAGAGGAGTGAAAAAGATGAAGAAAGGGAAGGCATCGGGTTTAACGATGGTGGTATCAGAGATGTTTAAAGGTTCTGATGATTTAGGGATTGAATGGTTAATGAATTTAGCAAATCAGATTGTCACAGAAGGTACTATTCCCGAGGACTGGCGAAGAAGTATAATTATCCCAGTATACAAGGGGAAAGGTGATCCTTTAGATTGTGGGTCTTACAGAGCTATTAAACTCTTGGAACATGCAATGAAAGTATTTGAGAGAGTGTTAGAAAAGCGGATAAGGGAACAAATCAAAATTGATGAAATGCAGTTTGGTTTTACATCGGGAAAAGGCACGACAGATACAATTTTTGTGGTGAGACAAATTCAGGAGAAGTATCTTGCGAAGGAAAAGAAACTCTATTATGCGTTTGTTGATTTGGAGAAAGCATTTGATAGGGTGCCGCGTGAGATTACAAGATGGGCCTTGAGAAAATCCGGTGTGGAGGAATGGTTAGTTACCGCAGTGATGGCAATGTATGTTGGAGCACAAACAGCAGTACGGACGGATTATGGTGATAGTGACAGCTTTGAGGTGAAGGTAGGACTTCATCAAGGATCCGTGCTGAGTCCATTATTATTTATCTTAGTAATGGATGTGGTGGCTAGAGAAATGCGTGAAGGACTTCCCTGGGAGATATTATATGCAGATGACCTTGTATTAATGGCAAACAGTGAGGGAGAATTGAGGGATAAAGTTAGTAAATGGAAAATGACTATGGAAGCAAAGGGCCTGAAAATGAATGCATCAAAAACAAAGGTGATGATTGGTGGGGAAAATCTAAAGATAGAAGAATCAGGTAAGTGGCCTTGTGGTGTATGTGGGAAAGGAGTTGTTAGAAATTCTATCCAATGCACCAGATGCCAGAAATGGGTACATAAAAGATGTAGTGGGAAAAAAGGCAGTTTGATGTTAGAAAGAATGACCTTTATTTGTAAAACATGCATGAAAGGGATACATAATAATGATAACCTAAAAAATGGTGGTCTGGATATTGGCAATGGGTTAACCCTAGAAAAAGTGGATAAGTTATGTTATTTAGGTGATATGCTAAACGCAGATGGTGGTGTAGATTCTGCTGTTGTTGCAAGGATCAGACAAGCTTGGAAGAAGTTCAGAGAGATGTCGTCTATTCTTACAAATAAAAAAGTTTCTCTGAAGTTAAAGGGGAAAGTTTACGTAAGCTGTGTGAGGAGTTGTTTAGTTTATGGCGGTGAAACATGGGCAATGAAAGCAATTCACGAAGCCAAATTAGAAAGAACAGAGATGAGGATGGTTAGATGGATGTGTGGGGTATCTCTGAGAGAGAGAAAAACTAGCAAGGAATTGCGAGCAAGATTAGGTATAGAAATGATTGGTATGGTAATGCGACGAAATAGACTAAGATGGTTTGGGCATGTGGAACGTATGACAAGAGATGACTGGGTAAAGAGATGCACAATGATGGAAGTAGGAGGATCAAGACCTAGAGGAAGACCCAAGATGACGTGGACAAATGTGATAGCGGCGGATATGAGAAGCTTGAATCTTACAAGTATTGATGCTCAGGACCGTCAAAAATGGAAAAGAAAAATCAGAGGGAAAACTGGCCTACCCGGGTAAACCTGGAAATCGCCATAAAACGGAGAAGAAGAAGTGTTAAATGGCTGGATTTTGCCGATTTTTGAAAAAGATTAACTTAAAATATCAGCCAAAAGTATATCCAAGCTTGGAAACTATGCCCACATATTATAGAAAGGTCTGGATATCTATTGGTGGAATTTTAACCGAAATCGAACCTTTTAACAGCAATACCCATTCTGCAATGACTAAAATGTATCCTCATCGCTTGGGACTACATCTGTTTGTTCAAAAAACTACTAAATATAACAATCTCTAATTGGTTCCCGCAAAGTCTGATAGACTCCTGCAAAATTAAATTTTTGCGCACGTGGCCCGGTTAAATTTTTTTAAGTTTTCTTCATATTAATCAAGTAATAATATTTTCAATTTTAAAATATTTCGCTAACTATAATTTTGTATCGTGGTACAGATTGCGGAAAAACGATTCCCAAGGAAAATTGGCTTCTAAAAAAATTAGCCTTTAAACCTCAGAAATATTTTTTATCTAAAAAAATTCCCCCTTCCTACGTTAAAAAAAATACTTTTTCATCTAAATATTTGTTTTAAAAAAAAGGTTTTATTTATAATGGAATACAACATATGTCCGCATATAATTTACATCTATCTATAAATTTAACCATTTCCGACATAAGGGGAACCAATATGGAAGCCGTTGAAATATTGCTAAGAAGTTCGGTTATAAACGAGGTAAAAATAATGAAGATTAGGACTATCAATATGGGATTATAGTTTTTGAATACGCCAAAGGAATCCACTAAGGTTTGAGACAGTCCCGAAGCCTGATTTTCCATTTTTTAAAATTTAAATTAACCATATAAATTCATGACCAAAATGTCATTGCTTAAATATATAATTATATACATTATCATTTCGTATTTATTCAATATACAAGGTGGCTAAAAAAGTAGCGTTTTGAAATCTTTATGCCCATAAAACTTGTAAACTCGTTTATTCTTAAAAAGACCTTCAAATTTTTATTTCAAGGGCTAGAAGGGTCATTGTATTGAACTATAACTGGAAGCTTTTTCAAAATTTTTCCCTAATCATAAATTATAATGCAAAACACAAATATACATTAGAATTATCAAAATAAAAATTTCTAATATTTTTAATTTCTCAAATTTTGTTTTGTCCAACCCCTGCATAAAAACTTAAAAGAAAACTTTGAATCCCGCTGCTATGGCCATCCCACCACCAAACAAAAATATGATGTCCCACAACAACCTCACTTGAACTCTTTCCCACGTGAGTATCGGTTTGTAAGGGATATAATTTGGTTCTTTTTCTTCGTCTCCTTTTTACACAAAATAACGCAAATAATATATATAAAATTTTAAAATTAATGAAGATATAAATTACATTCGATCTTTTTTTTTATGTCCGATCAAAAAGGAATTTCATTATAATGTAAACTTGCTTAGCTTACCTTACTAAATTAGTTTTGTTAAACGGTCTGATTAAGATTTTAGCCAAAAAATAATATCATGTAAGCCTGGAGATTTTGCTCATAAATAAGCAAAAAGGTTTGGAAGCTCTATTTGCCTCTAGGTTTATATAATGATATTTTGGATTACAATTTTAATCGGGCCGTTTAACAACACTACTACTAATAACTAAATCGATATCTTTAAGAAACTTTGATTTTTATAATTATATTGATTATCAATACAAATCAAATTTAACTGAATTTTAATCTGTCGTTTTTTTTATAACCTAGTAAATCTTTTATAAATATAAATTATACAAATCACTGTAAACTTATAATGTGAGTCTAACGTCGTTACATTTTTTGAGGAAAAGGAACGTCATTCGTTACTTGTTTTAGAAGATAATGAGTAACGCGTTTCTTTCTTTTTAACAGTAATGCAAAACGTTATTCGTTACTTTAAATTATTTTCTTAAAAAATATACCCAAATAAAGAAAATTAAGGGTACTATGTCTTCACTTTGTAAGTGTAATTTGTAATTCTAATATTCCAGCCTCGATGTCCAACAGCTCAATTAAAAAATAACATATGAAGGTAAAAATATAAATTCAGAAATTTCGATAAAGATAAAAAAAAATTTGTGAAAATGATCTAATAAGTTTTTTGAAATTAAAGATCGTTCTTCTTTAAATATTTTTAATAAATTACTCTAAATTTTTAATTATTAAAAATAATAATTCTCTCATTCGCTGAGCGAGTTGAATGTGTATTTAGCACAGTGAAAACTATGTTGAACACTAAGCACATCTGATCTCAAAATTTTGAAAATAAATTATTATTTAAAAAAAAACTTATCTTTTATCATCTCTATGTGACAAATTAAAAGAAAATCTATATATAATATTCAGGATTTTTTTCAAGTAACGAGTAACGAACGCGTTACTTTTTTGAATAGCGAAAAACGCGTTCCTTCTTCAAACGGGTAACGGTAAAGCGTTCCTTTTTTTCAAAACGTAACGAAAAGAAACGTTTACAGCACTAATTATATCTCATACTATTTGATATATCATTAAAATTTTGCTTTTTTTTAAAACTGTTTAGATTCAATTTTAGAGTGGAAAAATCGGTAGGCATGATGAAATACAATATAGCGAGTATTAAAGCTGGAGTTGTGTCATTCACGTAACTGGTTATTTAATATTTAATAAAATCAAGTTTTTTATAACCATATATAATATTAAATAAAATATAGTATAAAGAAAATAATTCTTACTTTTTTTTTATCTATTACTTTTTTTTTCCTCGTTCCTTTTCTTTCTTTCTACATTCTTTCCTTTCTCTTACAACTTCCTTGTTCAAATTTTTTTTGCCAATATTAATTTTAACTCGTCTTTGAAGAAGCTTTGCCATCCTGGTATGAATCTCGGTTTTTTGAGGACCCATATGAATATAAGAAGTACAAACGTCGAAGCAACTGCAATTTCCTGGTCCCTTATATTTTTTTTCAAAAAAAAACGAACATATTTTTTTGAATGGGAGGTAAAAAAAAAATTTTTTTCTAACTTTGCCAATGATTAAAAAGTTAGTGGACTCATTTCTGGTTTTCAATGCTATGAGCGTCATAAGAGAAGGATGCTTCCGGAATTAGAAAATAGGTTTGCAAAACTTTTATCAGTTAAAAAAATCTCCAGCCGATTCCTTCCGTTATTCCTATAATCATAGAAATGCGTGACGATCAGTGGGTTGTCTCTGAACCTCAATAGCGAACTTTTACTTTATACCAAAATTACTTTTGGTCATTCTACTGAGAGTCATATTACGGTCTAATCCAATTAAAAAATTTAATAAGTGTTTAAACTCAATCAACTACCTTTATCTCAATTATCTCCAAGGACCCCAGAATGCCCATCAAAACCAAATCATTAGACAGGGGTAAATGACGACTTAAACCAAGCTTTAATAAATATAGCTGAAGGAAAACATTCCTATATTCCGATTAAAATTTTTTTTACACAAGAAATGAGCTGAAGCATTATTTAACCCTTAGTTTACCCAAGAAGGTCACAGGGCCCATTTGTCATGTTCAATTACTCATAAACTTATAGATTTTTTTTTGAGCTGAAATTTTTTTTAATGGGTCCATACAAAGCTTGTCAAAAGTAATGTATCGTATCATATTCCTTCCCAAAGGAGTCCATTCGATTGGTATTTTGCATTTTTTTACAATAAAATAAATATAAACAAAAGACAAACAGAACAAATTATATATCAATTCGTAGCCCAATCCCTAGCCTTAAAAAAAAGTGAGCTCTCTACCTATAATATACTTTAGAAGCTATGATTTAATTATGAACCCAGGATAAAATGGTTAAAGAAATAGGGTAAAGTGATTAATATAATATTTAACACATTTTTTATATTTCTTTTGAAACATGTAAAAAAAATAATATATATTAGATCATCCAATGAGAAATGAATGTTGACAGTCTTCGATTAACAATTCCTCTCATTGCTCAATATCTGTTATAAATTATTGTCGTTCCAATAAAATTGTTATCCTGTTCATATAATTAGGCAGCCTTTCGACAAAGCAGTATATGGACCTTAAAAAAGTTTTATAATAAAGCTCTTGACATATGGGTGAGAAATCAGGTGAGGGCAACCATTCCATTCGTAATATTCCAAGAGTTTAAAAAATAAAATATGACCCATAATAATACATCAAATAGATTTTCTGCTAGTGACATATATCCATTAAACCCTAATATATTTACAGATCAAGATTATATCTTGTTGACTGTTGTAATAATTTAAATGGTAGCTTGAATAAATAAAATTGAAAATTTTGTGGCTAAACCTTTAGTAAATAATATAGAATTTATGTCCTGCATTAATGAATGAAGATGTTCCCAAAGGATATTATAACAGATGAACCCGATCATTATTAAATTTTACCTTCATGCTCTAAGAACTTTAATAAATCAGTATTCAATCCAACATCTAATATTTCTATTCCAAAATTGTTCACAACTTTATCAGATAAAATCTCTAAAAAAAGTAAACATCAAAAAAGAAATGTTTACTAGTTATATGCAATAAAATTTTTTATAAATAATCGCGAGGGTGGAGAATGGTTAAAATGTACAAAATTTCTTGTAAATAATTATTTTAACCACTTTACCCTAGTGCTTATCCATTTTACCTTTTCATCTAATTTCAAAACAAGCAATAGGACCATCGAAGATGAAGAAATGTTATAAGTTTGGCAATAATATGGAAACTAGGACCATAAACAAAGCTACAAAAAAATATATTTTATCGGCATAAATGTGGTCGAAAATTAATAACCGTTCGGGTTAATAATAGGCGGTCTAGTAGTCTTAAATAAAAGGGGACCGACAAAAGCGTGGTTTAGTCTAAATTCCTGACCACGTTAAAAACATGATTATTTGACTTACTTCATACGCCCCAAATTGTTTAGCTGAACTTTGATGTAGGGCCTAGCATCAAACGCATCTTGGTTCTTCTTGTTGGTGCAGATCTCTCTATAGGTCTGCCTATTTATGATATTTATTTTTATTTACAAGAATTACTTTTAAAAAAAGGGGAACAAAGAATAAGTGATTATTAAAAAATTATAAAGTATTTCGTCGATGAGTGAAAATTAAACTCACATATGAATAGCGAATAAAAAATAAGATTAAAATATTTTATTTTTTTTTCCCAATAAATTTAAATCCCCCCTTTATCATGGTTTTTTAACATAAGAATTAGAATCGAGAAAGGAAGGGCGCCAAACAGACTATTTAGAACGCGTCTTATTCCTTTGAGAAGACTTGAGTCAGCCCTATCTCAAGGATGCTAAGGATATTTTGCTCTATTTTTATATTTATTTGTCTCCTATATATTATAGATGAAAAGGAATAATCCTTAGCAACGCAAAAAAAAAGAATAACAATGTTATCTTTTGATTTTAAAACTCTCTATCAACCTAATTAAGCTATTAGAGTCAACATCTTGGTCAGTTGAAGGAATGATATCCCTCTAGATAGGGAGAAAAAGAATTAGAAAAATACCAATAGACATCTCAAAACACTTATAAAAATATTTACCCGGACAATGTTATGAAAATATTTAATACTTTTTTCCAAAATAAATATTGGCAACCTTCAAAATTAAAAGTTGATTTATTTAGGTCTCCTATAGAAGATAAAAAATAAATATTTTCTTTTGTTTATTTTGGTGCACAATTTGACAAATAATGACATTATTTTAAATTTGTAATTTATTTATTTTTCGTTTAAAATTGTTGATCTTATATATAAATATTTTAAAAGTTTTATATTCTTTTAAAAAAAATATATTAAATGTCACTTTATATCTTAGATACTTATATTTTAAAGGTTCATCTGAATATTTGTCGAGTATACGTTTTTCTTCAAAAAAAATCCCCATCCCTAGATTAGTAAATAATTATTTCACCAAAATGTATAAATTAAATAGTTTTAAATTTTTTTTAAAAAAACCTGATTCCAAAAAAATACATCCCCAAGAATATCCACATTAGAATCAAAATTATGAAGGCACCCGGGAAAGAATATAATAACCATTTATCAAAGCTGACTTGAGCCTTTTCGCCAAAAAGTCTAATTATTTATTTAGTTTTTTTTGAATAGTTTTTAAAAAAAATTTATTAAATAAACGATAAAAATAATTCAATTCTTTAGAACCCCTAACCACAAATAATATAATTACAAAAAAAACAAATATATCTATACTAAATAAATCTGAAATTTTAGTAATATAATCGTGATGGTCAGTTAATGTATTATAGTTCACAATTTAGTTTTTTTAACCAATCTCAATTTCTACTTTTCTTCTTAGATTAAGAACTATTGTTCAACTTTAAATTTTCTTGACCAAAACTTTTAATGTAGAGGAGCTGGGATATTTAAGACTGTTTATTAAATAGGATGTTAGCCTAGAATGCGAGAGCTGATTGAGTAACTCGTATAAATAAATAAATTGTATTTTATAAAATGATACCTAGTTTGTAATTTATTTTTATCTAAAGTATTGTTGAGGCATTAGGAATTTCGAAGTTATATTAACAATTCTCTGCAGTATTGTTATTGCTAACTTGTGGGCATGGGTTTTATCTTATGAATGTCATTATGGCGATTGCAAGTTTTAGATTAAAATATTTTCAGTTAAATGATGATTATCGTGAATGGGTCTCCTCTCACTCAGTACCCTTGGTCATTTTTAGAAAATGAATCACGAACTAACAATGACAATAAATCAAGGAAATGATGGGCTATTAAAAAAATAATGAAAAACGATTCGCAATAGGTGAATATTATAGATATCTATTTATAATTATAACCAATATTTCTATGCCCTAAATTTATAAAAAAAATAATATTGTATTTCCTTTTTCATAAAGTTTCCATACCCGTTTAAAACCAATATAATTTAAAGATCAACGTGATTCATTAAAAACAAATTCTTTTAAGATATTTAATATTTTCCTTTTACATCTTGTTTATTTTACATTATTATAATGTTCCGTTATCGATGAAATGTTAGGATATAATCTTCGTTTTTCCAGGTTTACACGAGCAAGCCATTTTCCCTTTCACCATTACCCCACAAATAGTCTACCATAATTTTGGTAACTATGTTCAGCTATAAAAAGCAAATTTTCTAAGAAAACTACAATGTGTTATAGATTCTAAAAAGTATAATCTATAAAATTTAAATATATGTATTTTTGTTTTTACATTGAAAATATAATATAAATTTTTTAAAATAAATGCTTTCCCTTTTCCGTAAGATATTGAAGAAAAAAAAAAGATCATATAGATGTAACAGACCACTATAATAATCAGGCTGAGAAAATGTCTGCTTTGATTTCACATAAGGGCTAGAACAACTATCATAATTGATTATAAAATATTTAGGATGCACTGATATTATAATGGTCTGATTATAAATATGTAGATTAACAGATATTTTTTAATGTATAACCATCTCGGAATGTTAATAACACTTTAATAATATGTTATCAAACAAAAATATTTTAAGGAGGGATGAGTATCGGCAAATATAATCACCTTATCTTTAGGATAAGGATTCGCCGATCCGATTCTAACGCCTGCTTAAAATAATTTTGTTTTATAAAAAAATTGTGATGTTAAATCGATATTCCAAGTTCTGCCAATCTGGTGCTAATTCTGAGATATACCATTTATGGCCAAGCCAATCGATGCAGCCCTTAAAAATATTAAATATGTTGGTTATATATTCTTTGATTTCAGTTTCGATATTTATATTTTAAATTTTCTTAATACTGCAGAAATAAAATATACAGAACGTAAAAGATTGATAGCTCTCTTGAATTATGAATAAGAAATCTTTGATCCTTTCTTTCTCCACATATGATTAAGACTTGGATCAAAAGAGAAAAATTACAAATTACAAAAAAAGCAATTTATGCGAAAAAAAAACTAAAAGAAAGCGAAAAAATACAAAATGTCTTACCGCGAATATTTTTTTCTTTCAAATAAAAAGTTTTAAAATAAAATCAAGATTGAATAAAAAAACAAACCACTTTATTAAATCCCTAAAAAAAACAAGAAAAGTGTGAAATATTTTTTTGGCTATTAGCGAACCCCAAATACGATTATACTAGTAGAATTACAGACTTAAATAAAAAACAGATTTTTTATAAATATTGATTTTTTCCCCATATATAAATATAATGATTTAATCATATTTATCTCGTGGATATTTAAAACGGTCGGGATTTAATATCCTTTTTAATCTAATTCGTGTTTCCCCATAAAATTCTTTCTCAACCTCAACCACCCCTCTAAAAAAATCGACTCCATTTGTTACTTAAAAAATTTTTTTTGCGTTGATGTTAACCAATTAACTGTAAAAGAAATCGATTATATAAATTAGGGCTTTGCCGATCCACAAATTTTTTATCCGATTCGATCCAATCCGCTTTCGATAACCGATACCGATTTGATATTTATTTTTATTTACCACCTATAACTAATTTCATAGATAAAAATCACTATATTTAATTAAATAACCAACTAAACCACAAATGATTAAATGTATTTCTCCAAAAGTCTATGGGAAATAGTTATAGCTGGCTGTAGTGTTGCTAAATGACTCTCGATTTAAACGATATCAAATTAAGGGCCAAAATAGTATTATCTAGAATCATAATTACGTCAATAGATATCCCAAACCTTTCTGTCATCTCTGAACAAAATCTCCAAACTTATTTTGGCTAAAAATCCTGAGTTATCTTCAATAATCAGCTAAATCGAATCATTTAATAGAAACTAGCGGAAAGTAATTCAGGTTGTTTTAAACCCCTTTTCTTGTTGCAAATAATATATAACAAAAAAAATACCAAATTTTTAGCTATATTATCAATTAAAATAATTCGATTTTTTTTTTATAATAAAAATATAATGAATTTTGGTTTCTTTTTATATATATATTAATATGAAATTATATATAAAGTAATAAATATCGGCCCCGATCCGATATAATATTTAATGTCAGCGCAGCCCTAATTCTTTCTAAAGAAAGATTCGTAACAATAAATTTTGAGTTTTTTTACGTGCTATTTATTTTACTTTCTTTTCAAAAAAAACCATTAATGAGGAATAGGAAAGAAATTACTGCGTCATAAGTCCCGTCATTATCAAATTAGGCCCGGTCCCTGTCAAAGAGGCCGTTCCCCCCAAATTGGCGGCGTATGCGACGGCTATGAATATAGCTTTATTAATCGGCACGAGACTCTCGTCCATTTGGTAACGGAAGGAAAATCGTGTGCTTAATTAGTACATGGTATAGCAATATGTAAGTATTGTGAAATGGAATCTTCGTATAAAATGTCAAATTAAAAAATGATCTACTAAATTCAGCTGTTTATCATATTGATGACACCTATAAAATATGACCGATGAAAATATGAGATATCGTAAAATATTATTATTATTTCTATCAAGCGAGAAAAGCTCCTATGAATATGTCCTAGATCGTCTTCTTTTTTCAAAAATTTTTTTTAATGGTTGTGACTCAAGGAAATGCCGCTATAACAGTTGTCTATTAATAATTACATGGCCTGCCAGATTTGACAGGTTATTAAACAATTTTTAATATATTTTAAACCCCAACGACATATCTCCTTAACTCTTAATCCTATTCCTTACTTCGGATACTTGTTTAATTTTACAATATATTTCCTCCCATTAAATAATCCCATTCAATTTTAAATTCTTTGAGTTGAGCTATTATCCTTAATAGTTAACTTTAGATTTTTTAAAAAAATAAAAGAAAATTGGTATACACATTTTTAAGCGTATGTCTATTTATTATTTTTTTAAAGAAAGAATGACGTGCAGGCTACTTTTCTGATTATAATTAAGAATTAAGTTTTTAGAACTAAGACGCAGTTAAGTAGATTATTAATTAGAAAAAAAATTTTTTTTTTTACCTTGAATCTTCGGAATTTTCTTTTGGATTGAGCGTTTCAATATTTAAGTGTGAATCGGTGGTCGTTTCTAAAATAATTTTTTTAAAAAAATTTGGTTTATATTAAATTCGAACAACTTTCCGGAAATAAGGAATGTATTTTTTTTAAGAAAAAGGAGATGTATCGGTTATTGGACATGGTACTTAATCGATACCGGATGTCTATTAATTAGGATTATCTTATTTAAAATTTAATGCAAAATTGAGTGCCCTCCAAATTTCTTATTTCATCGTTGATTACTCTACTTTTTACCTAGCCCTCGAGGATGACGATAATGCATTGGACTTGGCCGTAGGAGCTGGAGAGATATAGAACCGTTATTAGGTGTTCGATTCTCTAACCCGCCTTTTTAGAAAGTCATAAATGTCGTATTAATAAAAACGATTCCATTTGGATATTATAGAACAGTATTTGACAAAATAATTCTTTATATTTTTAAAATCTAGCATTCTGACAAAACTATTATCTTGGGATCCCGAAGGTAATAAATATCGGTTTCGGCGCGGGTTCCGATAAAAATAATGGTTCAGAGGTTTGTGAAAAAATATTAATAGGTTCAGTTGGAACCTTTTAAAAATCCAGTTCGATTCCTATCACATCGACTTATTAGGATTATGTATGGAAAAGCATATATATATTTTTTTAAATTTTTATCATTAAAACCCCATAGATAAAAGCAACTTAATTATTAAATTCCAGGTCGTTACTATAACTAACGCAAACTAGATAACACGCCCATGATTATTAATTTTTTGTATATTTTCATAGGGCATGACATGATACCTTCGATGTTTATGTGTTTTTAATGTTTTCATTTAAAAAAAAATTAATATATATTTATATTTGCCTTTATCTCATAATAATTTATAACCTATTTTAAAAAAAATAAATAATTAAACTACTACATTTATTTATTATTTACTCTAAAAAACCTATTTTTATGAATTAAATTAAAATTTAGGTAAATTATCGAGAAAAAAAAACACTAGATTTTTTTAAAAAATAATCACTATCTAAATTATTCATCTCGTATTTAACCTTTTGTCACAAGAGGAGAAGAGGCCGCAATATTTTCCATGGGCTGTTGATTATTTTTTTCTATCGAGTCCCTGCCTTTGATGCCCTGCTGAGAATTTCGGTGGTCGCCTTTAAATGCTACTTTGTCAGCACCTTTCACGATCAAAGCGTGAATTCTCTTGAATTCTTCCATTACGCCGCATGCTATGGGAGTCATAAGGGCGGACGTGGCTGTGTTATTTATCCACATGGAAATAAAAAAGGTAGTGCCAAGAAAGCCTAGCAATAACCTTGAAAAATAATCATTTTTAGAATAAAATTAGTTTAGATAACCTTAGGGCAAGTTAGGGTGGAGTGAAAATAAAATCGACAAATCACTCGAAATTTTATTATAAATACCTTTTGAATATTATTTAAGCTCAGTTTAGTAAATTAAAAAAAAATTATATAATGCCAAATTCTTTCATATTAGATCAATGTTAAAATTCACCGTTATTCGAAATAACAATTTGCTAAACATTGCCCAAATTTGATTAAAATGCAATTAGACTCAAATCTTAAACTATTTACGGAATAATGCGCTCGCTTTCAAATCAGCTAGGATCAAGCCTGTGGCGAGAAAATCTATTGAGAAAGAAAAAACTGGCCAATCCTGAATTAAAACTCAGGTCGAAATATAAAATAATTCTTTACATGAACGACTAAAGCAACTGAGTCACAGGAGCTACTCCAAAACAACGTTTTGTTTGCAATATATCGGATCGGCTCAGATATTAATCGTTTCCGATAAATATCCGATCGCCCGATATCATTTAAACCGATCTGATATTTTAAAATAATCGGGTAATAAACTATATTTCCCCCCTCTAGCGCATCCATATTTATATTTTTTTTTAAAAATGGAGCCCTTTTTGTGTAATTTCTTTAAAATAATGAGATACAAATATATTTATGAGAGAATATTTAATGATGCACACACATGTCCTATGTTTAAAATGAGGTTGTCTTTTTATATTAGAATAAGTAATTATCGATTCAAAATTTCCACTTAAATTATAAAAAAAAATAATTGGTTTTTGTAAATTATATTATCGTATCTGAATGAAAAGGTATTGAAAAAGAAATAAAACAAGTTTACGTTTTCCAATATTATTCCAAACGCCGAACGGTAATTTGACCAATTTGCATTATAATCATTTGAAATGCATTATTTGTGTTTGTAACGCGGCATACTATCAATTTGTAAACACTATAAGTCCTGCACTTACATTATTTTAACATTGTACATTTCAAATTTTTTTAGTCATCATACTTTTTTTTTTACAATATTTTATATTTTATACATTTAAAAAAAATGATTGTAACTATAATAATAGATACTTTTGAATTTTGATTTTAATATAATTTTAAATAAAATATTCATGAATCATATTAATTAAATCCATAATTTAATTAGATTTACACGTTATTTTTGCGTTTGCGGCGTCAAATTATATTATATTTGAAATAATTTAATAAAACTTAAACATTTTCCCTTTCTGGAATTTAAAAGAAAACGTCTTAGAATTAAAAAAAGAAAAACCAGATGTAGGAAAGCGCATTTTTCTCTATACAATCCCGATCATTTCTGCATTATCACCAGTGACGATTCTATTTTAGTCGTCCTCAAGATTCTAGAATTTGAGCCAATTTACAAAAACAACCCCATTTTTTAAAACAGAAAAATATTGCCTAAGCCTCGAGATTTAGCTAATAGATGTCGAAACCTTTGTGCCATCTTACAAAATCTTCCGACTAGCGTAATATTTTTTTCTGAATAAAATATAGAGTAGCCGTTTAACATCAAACACTACATTTAAATGATAGAGTAAACCTGTTTTTTTTTAAAAAACAAAATATTCAATAAAAAAAATGATATTAAAATACACTTTGGGGTTAAGTGTTAAAACATTATAATAACTTCTATTTATTTCCTTCTATTATTTATCTTTTACCTTGATTAATTAGATAATTTCCTTATTTATTTATTTTATATAATTTTTTTTATCGTTAACATTTTAAAGAAAAAAAATTCAATTTGAAACTTTTAATTGATATTTTATATCGATCCTCAATTAATCCAAATTTTTGACATTTCTTCTTACTTATCTTTCGTTCTTTTATTTCTTTCTTTATAGAACACCGGTACCCTTTATTGCACTTCGGGGTATATAATTAGTTGAACGTTATCGATATTTTTTATCTATTAATATTAAAATATTAGATAGCATTGTAATTTTATCCTTATATACAAAATTTATTTTTGTTTCCATGTAATCTATGTGGCTCCGTTGGTATGGACGTTGATTGAGGAATCACAACCCGATCTGGCTCCGAAGCAATGACCAGGTCTTTTTTCCTGAAGCCAACAAGGTGGTTCCATGCTAAGGGGTGTGATCTAAAGAATATTGGAAGAGAGCGCGCGATTCCGTTAAGTTTATGAATTATTAAAATAAAAGTGTATCTTATTATATTTTTAATAAAATGTGGTCGTTGTTTAGCATATTTGGTTGTTTATTTTAGCAAATTGTTATATGATAACCAACCTATATATCATTACCCAACTATTAAGTTACTCCCATATTTTCTTAATTTTTAACTTCTTTGATTAGGAGAGAATGAGAGAGATAGCCCGGGTTAAGGTTAGGATAAAAAAAAAAAGGTTTTTAAAAGTAATCTATATTACTTGTAACCTGTCAAAACTGACAAGTCATATGACTATAAATAGATGAATAGAATTTTAAATAAATCAGCCGTTAAAACGGGAATTTCTTTGAGTTAGATTTAAATCATTTATTTAAATTAAAATAAAAGATAAAAATAGCCTAAAAAACAAAATTTTTTTGATAAATTATGAAAAAATATTTTATTCGTTCAACATTGTATTAATGACGAGCCATAAAATTACCAAATAAAAAAATCTAAGCCGGGCTTAAAATAAACATTTTTTTTTAGAAAAAAACGTAGCTAGGCCTAAAATTTAGACACTCTACTGCATATCTTGCTAACATAACCTTGTCTAATAGGTAAGTTTAAGAGAAAAACTAGATTCGCCGGGAGGGGGGGGCGAACTAGAATCTTGCCGCGCCTACTCTCAAATCCGAAACGACCATTCAAAATACGATATAATGATCCAATTCAGCCATATAAATTAGATGTATTTTTTAAGACATCACTTTGCTAAATATAGCAATTACTATCACTAGTCATAGACAAATTAACAATCCTAACCAGAAAGGCCAGTAAAGAAGGTCAAGAAAAAATAGTCTTAATGGCTAACGGAGATAGTGTGCGTGCGTCTCAAGGATGGGTTTAACGATGCTAAAACTGAGATGATCCGTAGGCGTTTCGAAGACGTCGTTCAGTACAGAAAACATTCTCCACTAACTAATTATATTAAAACCAATCATTGTAATAGTTCCTATTTTATAAAATTAAATCAAGGCTTGTTTGTGTTAAGAACCAAGATTAAATGCGTAAACAATTATTTTTTATAAAAATTCAGAGTAGCTAATTGTTTTGCTTATAAAAGAATTCACAATTACTTATCAAAACGTTAATGCCATTTTTTTTTTAAAAAAAGGAGAGATTAAAAACATTCCGAAGATAAAAATAACTTTAGTTTACATTTATGACTATAAATAAACGGATCTATAATTCTAGCAAATTTAATTTTAAGATTATAATGCATTTTATGTATGTGTGTTTTAAACCTATATCTGGCCAAATAAAAAAATACAAATAAAAAGTTTTTAAAAAATAATCAAAAATCTAATTTTGAAATAAAATTAAATAATTAAGCACATGTGAAAAATGAAAGATTTATCACTGTTGAATTAGATGAGTCCCATAATTTTTAAATATGATTGGAGTTTAAAGAAAGTTTGATCATTTATGCGAGTTTAGAACTTGGTGAACATAATCCAATAAATGTTACAATTGGTCGCTTCTCTTACACGTATCATACATAAATATATTATAATAGGATAACATTTAAGTTAATGTCAGACAATAGCAAAAACTTTGCATAAATTTTTATATCAAATTAAACCGAAACTTCAAAAAAAAATAATGTTAAATATAAGTGATTAATAAATAATATTGATAATTTAAGCCCTAACCATCTCATATCATGTAGAATCAACACTAGCCGCTAATGTTAAACGGTTAGATTTTTAAAAACACCAACCGCTTATTTTAGCCAAAAAATATTATATAAGACTGGAGATTTTCCTCAGAGATGGCAAAAAGGTTAGGATATTATTCATGAAATCTCGAGGCTTGCGTAATATTATTTAAGCTAAAATTTTTATTTTAATTTAAAATTGACCAAATCGAGCCGCTTAACAACAATCAGACCTTGTAGAAACCTGTAGCTTCCAAAAGCCCAGGGTGGTAAAATACTACGATTTTAAAATAGGGGGAGGGTTACAATTTCTTCCTTGCGAACTTTCCAAGGAAATATTTTCACTTGCCCAACGTTTAGCCATCCCATATTCTGACAAAATAATACAGCCAAATATATTAGATATGCTAAATTTTAAAAAATGATGACCATAAAATTATTAAAATTTGCAAAAATAGGCTGGGAAATAATTTTTTTTTTATAAAACCCACGGGCTTGTACACTTGCAGATCTCTATTAAAGAATAATATATATATATACAAATATAAATGTTTAGAATTTTAAAAAAAAAACATCTCATTTTTTTTACTGATCAAATATTATTCTAAGATATTTGTGTTGTTATAAAGGTTACTTTTGAAAAACAATTAGTTACAGTTAATAGTTACATCTATAAAGAGGTAACATATTATATCAAAAGTAACTAGTATTTATATCAGGGTTATGGACCCAATTTAAAATTGTTTGATTGGGCATTTTGAGACTACAGACCCAACAGAGACCGATTTAGCGGTAACCTATCAAACCCGGGATATTATGAACCGGACTAGGTTCGGTTTATAAAACGGGTTTTCGATTATATTCCTGTTATCAAAATTTTCGCTAAATAGAGTTTAAAATTCCTGAACCATAATTCGAGGCCACATGATTTTTATAACCCCTCAATTTTATTATTAGATATTATTTCTATGTATAAAAAAATTACAAATTTTAATCAAAGGAATTTAAATGAAAATACAAATTTGAATAAAAAAATATACTATAAAAATATCTACATTGAAAAAAATATATGTAAATAAAATTATACAATTTTTCATAAAAACTTGACCTTAATAAATTGTATGCTCGTTTTTCTTCCAAAAACAAGCTTCCCTAGATTATACAAACGTCCTACAATGCAAGCGTGACAATATATATATATAAAAGTTGATTTCAAATTTAGGAAATCATCGAATAAAGATGGATAATATATTATTCAACAAGTAACTTGAAAAGTGACCTACTAATTGCTTGTAATAAATTTCATTTAGAAAAATTATAAACTAACAAATCACTAGTTTCTTTACTTGTGACTATTGTTGTTAAAAGTCATGATTTTTAAAAATCGCTAAGCCAATATTTTAGCCAAAAATTATTAGACAAGCCTCAAGATTTCGTTAATAGATGTCAAAACCTTTCTGCCATCTATGAGCAAAATCTCCAGGCTAGTGTAATATTTGTTGGCTAAAATATTGGGTTAGCCATTTTTAATCGAGTGGTTTATAACATTACAAATGGCAAAAAAATTCAACATTTCCTATGTAAAGATTATGGATGTAAATTATAAGATTGTGCTAATATTTAACATACCATATTGGTTTTGAACCTGACAAGTAGAGTAAATTCAACGCTAAACGTCTATGAAGGTTAACCGTCTCGATAGCTTGGGCTATTACGAGCGACGCAAAAAATAACATTATGGGATCCTGTGTTGTTTAAAAGTGCATACATATACAATTTAATTTTTCAATAGATTTTAGAAATATATTTAAAGGTGGAACTATTTATTAAAATTTAAAAAAAATTAACTAGTTTCCTAGTGAATTTAAAATATTTATATAGATGTACCGAATAGTAATTTGGGTCGATACCAATTCTATTTTTTCACTGGTACCAGGACAAATATTTACATTTATTTAAGGCTGTTTCCATATCAAAAATATAATTAATAAACTATATTAACTTTAACGAAAAAAGAGAAACAAGGTAATTTTAATGTAAAAAAAAGTGGCCTAAATCATTTTTCCAAATTTACAAAAAAATTTATATTTTTCAAATTATAATTATAAAAGATATGAAATTTTGAGATATTTTAAAATATATTTAGGACACAGTCTGAAGAAATTACTCATAAAACTAATCAAAATAATCAGAATTTATTGATAAAATTTCATTTATCCCCATAGTTAACTTGTGGCAAATTAAAAAAATGAAGATGTAAGACCATCCAACTCTGCCTAATTACCTAATTGTTCTTCTGGCTCACCTAAGGGATTGAAATACACATCTCGTGAAAGTGGGGAAGATGGCATATTTTCGTTTTATAAAAGTAGATTAATTGATAATCATAATGAGGTAATGATAAAGTAAGCTACTTTTTAGCAAAAGAAATAATGTTATCACCCTTAATTTAATTATAACACTGAATTTTAAAATTAAGAGAGTTAAAATTTAATTGCATAATTTGATTGCGGATTATAAAATAATATAAAAGTAATTTTTTAAAAAATATATATATAAAATGTATTTAATTAATCTTCATAACTAGAAATAAAAATTTTGCTTATAATTTTCATTAATGTTGTTAAACAGCTTGATTAGAGCAGATTTTTAAAAAGAACTATTTTATCCAGAAAAATATCCCACATTTGGACATCTATAAACAAAGTTTCAAAGCTTTAGAAATATTTTTCCAAATAAAACATTGAGTTATCCCATCACCTATGTCGAGCAGCTAAAAAGTGGGGTGCAATAGGCCACAATTAGATTTCTAAAACTTGTGCAAGCCATTGATATTTTTGTCAGTTCATGGGTCAAATATATATAATTTTTTATTTGAATTGAAGTTTATAATTGGCATTGATACTCTTTAATAAAATTATTTATTTTTTTCACACTTTTTTTTTGGCATTGTAAATTTAAAGTAATAGTGAGCACAAATTGAGCTTTTGCATTTTGCCATACTTTATTAATAAAAAAGTATCCCTTGTGGGTTGCCTTTTTATTAATTTTTTCGATTTAAAATTTTAACTAAGTTCAAAAAATGAATTTGTCTTTGAAAATTATATTAGGCTGCCTTCATATTTTATTAATATTTAAATATTTTATTTTAAGATATAAATAAGTTATTTTTTTACATTTTATATAATATTAAAACTAGAAAATAAAATAGTATTGAAAAAAGCAGCATTTTTTTAAATGGTTGCTAACACTGAATGGTAATTTTTCCAGTTTGCATGATGCTATTTGAAATTGCATTTACAACATAGCATTTGAAACACTCAATTTGTGGGCACTTTAAGGGTGCTTCCATAAAAACTAGTCACTGATTGTGCTATATATTTAATCATAATCTGGAACATAAAAATTTTATTTATTATTATTTACTTTCAAGTAATGACTAGAAACATCTTTAAGGCTCATTATGCTAAAGATTGGAAATAGTACAAGTGGAACAAGAGAGGCGACAGCTAATGGCAATGCTTGTGTAATCAAATAAGTTGCAGTCACTATAGAAACATATGCACATTTCATTGACTATTAATGCAAATAACAAATAATTTAATTGTAGCTGGTAATGTTTGGGGACTTTAAAACCATTATTATCCTAATATAATTTTGTGGATATTCTATTATATTACAAAACCGCCAGTTTAAATATTAACTGAGGAAAAAATGACTAAAATTTATATCAATATTTATTGTAAAATTAAACCTGTGAGGGATATAATATTGGAATAGGTAAATATACGATTGGAATTAATATTGACATGAAAATAATCTTGTTATTGAACAAATACTTTAAAAATAAGAAAACTTTTTTTTTAGAAAAAATCATTTTAAAATTTAAAATAATGAATGAGTTATAATTAGATTACTTGTTAAGGTCTAAACCATGACCAGGAAAAATTTAATTCAGAAATAAATACTATTGGTGGTGGCCTATGTCATACAATTAACTATGCAGAAAGAAATGGGAATTATTTATTTTCATTGGACATAGAAATAACTACTATAAAATTTTAGGCCGAATTCCCATAAACAGGAAATCAGGATTCTCAAGATATTGAATGGCTCCATCTTCTACAAAGTATATCAACAAAATAGCTATCATTATTACGTCTCGAAAATCTTTCTAAAAATTATTTAGCTGATAAATCTCATTTTTAATAAAAACCAATCATGAACTTAATTGTAAAATATATGTATTTTACTATTACTGAAATGAAAGAGGGTTTTAGCGAAATGTTATTAAAAAATCAATGCTATTTCGTAAATAGAATATTGATCGTATTGATAAAAATAAGTAATAAAAAAATCTAACTTTATTTCCATAAAAATATTTTCTAAATTATTTTAAAATAAGACGCCATCTGGTGGATTTTACTTTGTTGATATTATTATCCATAATAAATATAGCCCTGTACTGTAATTTTTCCCGGCCCATATTCGACTAGCCCGACATTAAAAGTTTTTTTATTGTCCTAGCCCGACCCCAGCCTTAAGAAAGTATTTTGATCCAGTAGGATCCAAACCCAACTCGATTGAAATTTGGATTTATTCTATAAATTTTATAAATATGAAACAATTTTATAAATGTGAAGGCGATTTAATTGAATAGATCTTAGATAAAAACAGAATACAAGAAATATCGAATGAAAAAAATTCTATAAATTTTTAAATTTTTTAAATTGATTTTTCTTAATTATTGTGTAGATTATGAAAAGTGAATCGCATCTTCTTTAATAATCTCTTTTTCAGGGTTATTATGAACCTACAAAAACACAAAATATTAACCTTCGGTTAAAGGTAGAGTTTTTTTAAGTGAATTCAGTTCAGGGGAATATTTTTAAACCCAGGTATGGTTCCAGGTTCAGCTCGGGTATAGGAATATTTGAATTATATAAAAAATATTTTTTAAATATATTTAAATTATAATTAAAATACAAGATATAAATTTGGTATAAAATATAAAATTTTAATTTTATTTAAAGACAAAATATTATATAAAAATAGAAAGCATAGTCATGTATCAATTTTAAAAATTTTATTTAGATGTATTGGCATAATATCTTTTAAGAGTTGTCCATCTTCTATGATCTTTGCGGAGAAAGAATGAATTTCAAATTTGAAAAAGATCTTTCAACGCTAACCTACACTAAATATATTGAATAAGAAAATATAATAAATTCACTATGGTTACAGGAACAGCGAATAAGATTTTGGATAAAATATATTAGTCAGGGTGGAGGACAAAAAAATGAATTTTCTTCTTATTTAATCCTTTAAACGTCAAATTCAGTAATTATCGTTCCGATGCTTTTCTGCAATCGTTCATTGGGCCTTTTTGTAAATCAATTTCTCTAAATCATCTTGCTCAATAACTTCATATCCGACTCCATAAATTAACAAGATGCTTTTTAGCACATAATCATCTCTAAGTAATATCTATAATATTTAAGGATTTATGCTGTATTTTCAAATAAATGCAATCCAGAAAATAATAATTTTAATATAAATATTAATTTATTAAGCTTGTAATTAACCTTGTGTCTTTGCCAGCTAAGAGAATGTCATAGTTAATAAACTTTTCTGCTATTAAGATAAAAATAAAGTAATTAAGAAAAATTGTTTAAATTATTTTCTAGTTCAAAGCGGTATCTTGACCATTCTGCATAAAAATCTATGAACGTTAACTGTTCAGATTAGAGTTGCTTGGTTGCTATTTTTAATGGTCTTACAATTTCTACAATCGTTGTTACTCCCAATTATCGAGCAATAAATAACCAGATTGCTCTGCAAAGAAATTTTTGATATTGGGTTTGAGTTAACATGGTCCTTGCTTTTGCAAGAGTATCCTAATGGGTGAAAATTTTATTGTATCTTGCTTTTCCTTTCCTTTTAAGACTTTTTTGATTGACAATTTTTGGTTTGATTGAACCTTTTACTTTTTTTGTTTGACATTTTTCCTTTTTTGATTGGTCCTTTTCTTTTCTGTTTGACACTTTTCATTTTTTGTTTAACACTTTTCATTTTTTTGTTTGACACTCTTCCTTTTTGATAAGAAAAAACAAGAAATTGGCTACATCTAATAAATTATTTTTAGTTGATACGTTTTGTCGAATTTGCTTTCACTCTTTTGAATGAAAAACCGTGTATTTAAAAAGGTATAAAAGAGTTTACGACCTAATAGTAAAAAAAATTCCCGACTCGACATACCCCGAATAAAATTTTTACAATTTCCCGAATTAGTGGGGTTTTGCAGACCGGGGGGTAGGTGGGGGGTTTGTAACTTTTTTTAAAGGCCGGCCATAATTTTTAAATTACACCATTTTACGGTCCACTATAGGTCCACAGATCATCGAATATAATCTTAGAATTTACACTAGTGTCTGCAACGGGCCCAATTATTCAATCTGAGCCTAGGCAGATTTTAAAAAAAATGGGTCTAGCCCGGCACGATTCCGAAATATTTTTTTATATTTATCCCGAAAAACCCGGTTCGAAATTAAATTTTTTGCCCAGCCCTGCTGGAAATATTTCTTATAAAGATATGGCCAGGCAGATCTCTAATTAACATATTACCCAAACAAGAGATTCTGGCCGAAAGTTTTGCCTGCGCAAAAAGTTTTCGAGCCCTTGAAAGAATTTTGAGAGTCGAGTGGTATAAATCTTCATTTAAATTTCATTCTAATTTATATCTATATGGCAAATTTTTTACTCTAAATTATTGGAGCTATGAATAGGTTGTTTCGCGACTCTATCAAAAAATTGAGGACCTCCAGAGTTGTCAAACACTACTTTGAGTGCTATAGCTATTTGTCAAGAAAAGGAAATAACCTACCCCCCCCCCCCCCAAATAGCCCGCTATTAGCTACTATTTTTTAATCTTTAATTTTTACTTATAATGCAATTGTATAGTATATAATTCATATCAATATTTATAAATATTTAAATATAGTTAACTTTGAATTAAGCAAAAAGACTATAATTTATGTAATAAAAATAACTATTTATGGTATTATTAATTTTTTATTTATTTTATTGCATTTTAATAATTCATTTCTTTACTAATATCCCCAAGTCTAAGCAATGATCAGAATGTAGAAGTTTTGTCTTACTAAATAATCTCTCAACACGAGCACTTGAGGGTAAGACAGTATTTGCTTATATAAATATTTTTAATATAAGAAAAATTATATAAAATCTTTTTAGTATTTTTAGGTTTAAAAAAAGCGTCTAGGATATTTTCTATATTTCAAAAAAATTATCAGTGGAAATCGTTTTTGTGGTTGAAACTAGATCTTTGTTTGATATGAGAATATTCAGCTTTACCATAAGCCTATCATGTTGATTTTTAACATAATCGGAATTGATATATAGCCAGTTTAGTTTAAAATTGTTATGAATCATGGCAACTACATTATCATCGTTGTATAGGTTGGAGAATCTAATAGTTACAAAAATAGTGTATTAAAAAATATCTTAATCATAGAATATATAAATCTTTTAGCTTTTAACTTTAAGTTAGAATAAATTACTCAGTCAAAATAATTATATATCATCTTAGAATTTAACCTACATAATATTGATTCCAAAATAAATTAAACCAACTTAAATTATGAATCAATTATCATTACTGTAAAAATAAAATTTCCATAATATAGTAAATAAATTTTATTTACCTTCTTTCAATGCCTTTTAACATAGAATCGACTGTTATAAGTTTAGATTATTCAATCTCTTTAATTTTGTAGCTAGGTTACTCAAAGTAGAAACATAATACCCCATTTCTATATTATCCGAAACTTCTAAATTTTAAGGGAAAGAGCCATATATTGCTTAATCTATAAAATTTTAATGATATGAAGCTGAATAATTATTAATTAGAATTATTTTTATATACTCTTTTATAAAAGATGCACTTCATCATTGATATATTGTATTCCAATGTGATCACGGAGAAAATCCATATCTATGCAGAAAAAAATGCTATAAATTTGATTGTATGGTATACTAAGTTCCATTTAGTGCGGTTAGGGGGTTAATACATACCTGTCTAATTCTTTTTCATAGAGCCTTTAAAAGATTTGTTCTGTTTATTTCATGGAGTTTGACATTTATAAAAAGTGGTTCTAGATACCCTTTTAAATCTTCATTTTTTTAGGGTGCCTTCAGCATCCAGTGTTGCTATCAAATTTAGATTATGGCATGAGCATCTCTGAAGACAGGGCAACATTGAGTTGGAGTTAATTGAAGATCCTATAGAATATTGATTAGATTAACATGTATTATAAAATAATTTAAACCTTCTTCTAAGATCTTATTAATATCAATGCCATCTACACTCTTCTTCCAATACATTTTGACTATCATTCTATATATTAACTACAGCATTATCTTTACCAAATATTCTATGTTAATTATTTTATAAAGACAAATTATTCAGGCGGTTGTTAATAGAAATGGGTAGTAATATTTATCAAAAATGGAGTGAAAAATTATTTGGGTATTCTAAATTTCGAACCTCAGAAATTAGAATATAATCATGTAAATATCTTATCAATTGATGAATACATTGAATTTCCTGCATTGCATATAAATTGAAGGCAATTAATCAATAAGAAATAAATATAATAAAAATTTAATCATCCATAAAATATTCAATTCCCCTATCTTATTAAATGTAGATTAGCATAAAGATCATGTGCAATACAATTTAATGAAATAATCCAACTCTGTTTATTTTATGTGTTAAATTCACTAAATTTTTTTTATAATTTAATATGAATTATGATATAATATTACTAAAATATGTGTGTATTTAGTTAATAGAAATTCTATATATAT